AAAAAAAAAAAAAAAAAAAAAAAAAAAAAAAAAAAAAAAAAAAAGAAAAAGAGGAGGGGGGGGGGGAGAGGAAGATATAACAACTACAATTTTTTTGAAGTTCTTACAACAAGCAAATGGAAAGGACATGCTTGGGTGGGAGGGGGGAGAGGGAGGAGGTAGGGAGGTTTCGGTGATGGGACATAATAATCAACTACTTTGTATATTGACAAAATAAAAATAATAAAAAAAATAGATTGGTTAATAAACGGGTGTGGGATAACTGGTTATATGAACAGAATTAAATTAGATCTTTATGTCTTTTTGTTCACAAAAGGATTGGTTAATAAACGGGTCTGGGATAACTGGTTATATGAACAGAATTAAATTAGATCTTTATGTCTTTTTGTTCACAAAAGTCAATAGTACATGGACAAAGGACATACTTTAGACAGGCGAATCTGTAAAAATTTTTGTGAGACAAGAAATTGTGGTATAAAAGTGTCAAAGGACTCATAAAACAGGCATAAAAAGCATTAATGAAATAAAGATAAATGTATCCACATTAAAATAACAGCTATTCATCGATAATACTATACAGTAGGAAGTTAAATAAAAAATTAGAAAAAACTATTTTCATTTTATATTAATCAGCAGAGGACTACAATCCAGGATATGCCAAGGACTTCAGAACATCAATATGAACAAACAAACAAACAATGGGGAAAAGAGACAAAATAAATTCATAGTAATTTCATAGAAAAATTGGTGCATATGGCCTAGAGATAAATGAAAATATACTCCATCCTGTTAGTATCAGGAAAAGGCAAAAACCAAACTATATTTAGATTCCATTTCATAGTCATGAAATTTACTAAAAACGAAAAGATAGAAAAGTTCCAAATTTTGACAAAGCTTTTAGAAGTATTCTTATCAACTGTTGATGAGAGTGCTGATAAGATGAAAACTGACCAACTGCAATAAGCCACATTTGGCATTATTCAATCCCATAGGAATTTTATATACTGTAGAGAACTTGGGGTCTCAGCTCCAGGAAAATAGTTACCATAATCAATAAAAATGACATTCGCCAATTCCTTTCAATCATTTCTCACTGCTCAGTGTTCTGATCATTTGATGATACGTAGCCAAGTAAATTCTGGTGCATATACATATACATATATTATATGGGGAAATCTTCAAAAAGTTCTTGAGAAGATTCATATGAACTTTTAATTTTACTTTTCCATGAACTTTTTGAAGTACCCTCATATATGATAAGATCCACTTATCTG